CAAGATGGCCAAGTTTCGTCTCTCATACTTCGGACATGTTGTCAGGAGGGACCAGTCGCTGGAGAAGGATGTCATGTTTGGTAAGGTGGAGGGTCAGAGATAAAGAGGAAGACGCCCAATGAGATGGATTGGCCAAATGGCAGCATCAATGGGCTCAAGCGTGGCAACTGTAGTGAGGTTGGCCCAGGATCGGGCAGTGTTTCATTCTGCTGTGCATAAGGTCTCTATGAGTTGGTACCGACTTGATGGCACCTAACAACACCAAATATGTGTTGGGATCCTAAACACTATAGGTGTGGATTTAATCCCATCTGGTTATAGGATTTTCTTTTTTATGTTAAGGGGGCCATCTTAGTGTAAGTGTTGCTGTTCTTTGCTTTGGAAACTATTTCGACTCAAGGTGACCCCTTATGTTACAGAGTAGAACTGCTCCATAGGACTTTCAAGGCTGTGACTTGTTCGAAGCAGATCACTAGGATTATATCCTGAGGTGCCTTTGGGTGGGCTCGAACTGCCAACCTTTCAACTAATTGTTAAGTGCTTAACCACTGCGCCATGTATGCCTTAAACCCAATCACTTCTGGGTTATAAGGAGCAACACAGACACAGAGACAAGCAAGTTAGGCAACGATCACCCAGGAACTTAGAAACACTACAAGGCTCTAATCTTTGAGCTGAGACAGAGGGCCTCCCTCAGTGCTGGTGCCCTGAACTTGGACTTCTAGTCTTCTGAACTGTGAGAGGACAAATCCGTTTGTTATAGCCAGCCACTTGGGGGTGTTTCTGTCCTAGCAGCACTAAGGAACTGGGGCAGCCATTGTGCTCTGCTGTGTCAAGAAGGAGGAAGTCTCTGGCCTAGAAGGACGTGCAATCCATCCAGTAGGAGAGAGAGCAAAGCAAAACTGCAATCTTGACATCATGTAGGAGGGGTGATCAGGAGTGTGTGCAGGGTCCTAGGCACACAGGGGCAGTGAGCAGCCCATGGGGTTGGGTCCAAAAAAGGCTACCTGGAGATGGTGACCATGAGTGGATCTTGTAAGGCAGGCAAGGGAAGAAGACAGAGACCAGCATGAGAGACGCTATAGAGGGAACCAACGGTGTGGCGAGAGGTTGTTCAGAGACGAGGCTGAGGAGGACAGAAGGGTCAGGTCCCATGAGAAGTTATACTCGGAGCTGGGTTTTGTCCTGAGGGAGGTGGAGAGCCACTGAGAGGGAGTGACGTGGTTGGACGTGCAGTTACATTAAGGCGAAACTGGAGTCAGGCAGAGAGAGTGGTAAGAATGAGCCAAAGATGAGCCACAAAGAACAGAGGAGAATGAGAAGAAGACCCCTCCACATAGAAAGGACAGAAGAGCCCGGCATTGCATAGAAGCATATATTCGTATGCTCCTTTGGAAAATAATGAAGTAGAGGGAGGCCTTTTGGGGGGCTGGGGGACTTAGTCTTTCAAGTTGAACCACTCATTACCTCATTTCCTCTTACATCAGCATCTGCACAGGGCAGTGCCAAGAAGAAGCCAACGAGAAGCTTCCAGATTACAAAGCTGGCAAAGAAGACAGTACCAACGGCTCCCACACCAAGCATTTCGCTTCACCCACTCACCTGTGGTGCTTAGTGGTGGGCTGCTAACTATAAGCTCAAACACCCCCACAGCTCCACAGGAGACAGATCTGATGAGCTGCTTTTCTAAAGATCGCAGCCTGGGAAACCTGGCGGGCAGTTTCACTCTGTCACATGGGGCGCTATGACTTGGGGTTGCTCTGAATCAGAATTAACTTGAGGGCACTCAACAGCATATATCTGCAGAGACTATGGACTTCAAACCAAGGCAGTTACAGGATCCAATGCAGGGGAGATACTCCTAACATCCCTGCTGACTTCAGGCCAGCCTGTTCACTAAGATCTGGAGACCCTGCGGAGCTGGGAGCAAACGGAATTTGCTACTGACCTCCTTAAATTTAAAGAGGGTGGCTGAAGAGGAAAGGCTTCATGTTCTCCTAGAAGCTGAGACGCTCCATTATCTTCTCAGGAGTCATTCTGTCCTGAAAGGAAACAAATCACTCGTTAAATGACTCACAGGTGGTATCAATGGACACACCATGAAACGAAAGGCTCCCAATATCACAGACAAAGTCCAGTGTGGTTGCTGGACTATGGGGATGGCATATTGTGCTGACTTATGTCAAAGCTTGATTTTTTTCTGCTTCTTCTAAAATTTACTCTTTTTTTAAAAATTGTAATTAAATTACAGATAACATCGCATTTGCTAATTCAACAATTTTCTGGGTACCATTTCGTTACATGGAGTGCAGGCATCATGTTATAAAATTGTCACCACTGTCCTTCCCATGAATGTCTCCGCAAGATTCACAGATACCTCCCAAAGCTTGATTTTGGAGGTTTCGTTTGTACAGATAACTGCTGCCTGACTCTGTACTCACTCGGCTATTGTTGTTGTTAAGTGCTGTCGAGTCGATTCTGACCCATAGCAACCTTGTATAGGGTTTCCAAGAAGCAGCTGGTGAGCTTGAACCACCGACCTTGCAGTTCAAACGGCTTTAAGTTCGCCTAATGCATCATGTGGAGTCCTGGTGTGGCACTGTGGGATAATGCACTCAATGGAAATGTTGGTTTGAACTGCAAGGTCGGTGGCTCAACAACTCTAGCCGCTTCTTGGAAACCCTATATTGGTTGGCTGTAAGTTGGAATCAACTTGACAGCACTTAACAACAACAACAAGAATGCAACTTTGATAATGCTTTCATTGGAATGCCATCTCTTCATCAGCTAATATGCTCCAGGGAACATGAAACGAAGGACTTCAAGGTTCACATTTGGGATCACAGAATTTGGGAGGTGGGTGGAATGCTGCCTTTCCCAGATGAAGAACCTGAGAGCCAGAGAGGCTGCCTCACCACCAGCTAGGTCAGTTATTAGTGGAGTCAGAAGTTCAAGTTCTCTTTCTGCTACACTAGACTTCATTTATATACCATGGTTCTGAAATAATAGCTCCTCACTGAGACTTCTGACTCACACCACACTCTAAGATTTCATGTCAGTTTTAAGCCTATTTTACAATCTTTCTAAATGCGGAAGACATCTTTAGTTTTGTGATAAAATGCTAATAGTGATCATGCCTCCATTTTTTTATGTAGGAATGAGTCCCACCAGAATATGGGATTTATTAAATCCCCACAGTCCTCCCATATTTTCAACTAGAGTCTGACCTATGCTAACTCCTAAGATGAAACCTGTGATGTGTGTCACAAAGTAGTGCATATTTGTTGTTGTAAAGTGCCATCGAGTTATTTTCGACCCACAGTGACCCTGTATAGGGTTTCTGAGGAGCACCTGGTGAACTTGAACCACTGACCTTGCAGTTCAAACAGCTTTGCAGTCTGGTACATTAACCCACAGTGCCACATCAGGACTATTATGAACAACAAAAGTTTAATATAATAGGTTTTACAGGGATTGGAACTGCAGAAGAATATGCAATCAGATGTTACCTGAACTGACATTATGCAGTGCATGACTATACATGACACCAAACTGTCAACATTTACCCTAAAGCAAAGATGAGAAGGGCAGGGAAACTAGAAGAATGGAAACGGAACAACCAGAATGGAAATCCAGATACACTGCAAAAAACGTAACCAATATCAATTGAACAATATGTATACAGATTGTTAAATGGGAACCTAATTTGCTGTGTAAACTTTCACCAAAAGCACAATAAAATATCATTTAAAAATAGATAAATAACCTAGAACAGACTAGGAGGGGATATAGCAGATTACATGTAGTAAAGGTAAACAAATTCCTATGAATGTGCAGCTATGTAAACACATATGTAAAGGTGAACAAATTCGTATGAATGGCATCTATGTAATCACAGCAATCACATATTCTAGTTTGCAATGGGAAATAGATTTCTTTTGTAAATCACAGTAAAAAAGAAAAGTGTGAAAACTCTCAAGTCACAGAACAAAGTGATAAGCACTGTATTAGTTATTTATACAAGATGCTTCGGGCCAGGAGGAGCCAGAGTGGCTTGTGGACTAATAAGACCTCGCTTCAAAGTGATCTAGATACAAAGGTTGTTAGGTGCCATAGAGCCGGTTCTGACTCATACAGACCCTATGCATAACTGAGTGAAACACTCCCTGTACTGCACCATCCTCAAAATTGTGAAATTCAAGTCCACTGTTGCTGACACTGTCACTCCATTTCAGTAAGGGTCATCCTCTGTTTCGCTTACTTTCCATTTTACCAAGCATGATGTCCTTCTGCAGGGGCTGGTCACTCCTGACCACGTGTCTTGCCCTCCTCACTTCTAAGGAGCATTCTGGTTGTACTTCTTTCAAGGTAGATTTGTCTGTTCTTCTGGTAGTCTGTGATATTTTCAATATTCTTCTCCAAACTATAACTCAAATGCATCAGTTCTCCTCCAGGTTTCCTTATTCACTGTCCAACATTCACAAGTATATGCAGTGATTGAAAAGACCTAGGTACGTTTGAAAAGTTAATATATTTTGTTTTCTTAACTATTTAGGAAGTTCATTAGGTTTCTTAATCTCTCTGGCCAATTTCCTGTCAGTGTGATTTTACTCAGCTAATTCATTTTTTAAAAAACTTTTATTATAAATTGAGTGATAATTTACATGGGAGAACATCAGTTTTACACTCATCCTATCATATTTTGTTTCACTGTAAATGATTACAATCCCCTCCATGCATCATCAGTCAACAGTATTTGCTTCTATTCCCTCTGAGGTTTTGGTTGTTGTTTTGATGTACACAAAAACACTCAGGAATATATAATCATTTAAACAACCAAAGGGTACATTCTGAAAACCTGCTCCTGGCTGCCAGCACACGGCCTTTCTCTTTCCATGAGTCTAGAGTCTTCGGATGCTCTATCTCTTCATGCCATCTTCTCTGCCTCTATCTCTGGTGTTGCTGCTTCTCTGGATAGGGTCCCACCTTCCATGCATGCTCTTCTCCCTTGATGGCCCTGGGGTCCTCTGTTCCTGAAATATATAATTAACTACACCCCATTTCTGTTACAAAACTTCTACATTTACAGTTGTGACAGTCACAATTAGTCATGATAACAATTACTCACTGTTGAGTCATATCTTATCCCCATAAGATTCTTATCTTATCCCCATCTCCTTTCACCAGACCCATATAGACAAGATGAAAACTATTCAGTGGGGATTCTACCTTCCCCCGTACACTCTGAAACT